CAAATACTTATAACAAGGTAGCAAGTAACCCCTCAGTTAAGAAAAATCACAAAGAAATCACAGGAAAGGCTCTATGTAGAACCGCTCGCTCAATTGAGGTTGTACGTGCTCAAGACGATGAGAAGATGCGATCGCACGAGTTCTTACTTATCTACAAGGTGTTAAGGGGAAAGATATCAGCTGTACCTCCATATCACCTCACTCTCACCGCTCGACGTGGAGAAAGCGCAATGGAACACACCCGCGCACCATCAGGCAACCATTAGGCTGCGTTTATACTTTGCGGCAGCGTAGCGTAGCGCTTCCAGCGTACGCCAGCGGCAGTGCTGGGGAGAGGATGCATATCGATCTAGCGTTCCCAGCGTCACCAGCGTCACGCTAGCGTACGCCAGCGTTTCTCCAGCGTTTTGCTAGCGTTTGCAGCGGCAGGGGAGTAGAGACTATGGGAGAGCTGGAGGGCACAAAACACATTTATTGCGCGTCTCTCACTCACCCTCAGTCTCTACAATACACGTCGATTCCGCGTCTCTGACGGCCACATAGTCTCTACAATACACGTCGATTCCGCGTCTCTGACGGCCACATAGTCTCTACAATACACGTCGATTCCGCGTCTCTTACGGCCACATAGTCTCTACTCCCTGCCGCTGCAAACGCTAGCAAAACGCTGGTGAAACGCTGGAGAAACGCTGGTGACGCTGGGAACGCTAGATCGATATGCATCCTCTCCCCGGCACTGCCGCTGGCGTACGCTGGAAGCGCTACGCTACGCTGCTACGCTGCCGCAAAGTAAACGCAGCCTTAGAAATGAAAAGTGGGCGGTGTCAATGATTGTAGGTTGGGTCAACACCTGACTACCTGCTCACGAAGGGAGAGGAAAATCTCAACTGAACGCGGACGCTGCCTTTAAATTTATAGGTACATAAGCGATAGGCAGAGCCAATTCAAGACAATTATTCATCCGTTTCGATTGAGAGCGTTTAGGACTGAAGGGGTCTTCTGGCACTGAACTGGAGTCAATGCCACGACAAGCTTAGGCACGCCACAGCTGGTGTTTTAGTTGTTTATCCCACGAAACAGAAAACGGCATAATCGCCATCTCATTTTGGGTTTACTGCTTTCCGAAATTTTCGAGGAACTTGCGGTTATCATGGTTTCAGAAGAACATTCGTTCGGCGACGCTCATGCTGGTTTTCGTGACATGCACTTACTTGGCGTCAAACATGCTCAATGTGATCGTCTACACATGGGAGCTGATCGACAAGGTTATAAACTACCGAGTGTTCTAGTGCTTTGAACTTTCACTGATTATCCTTCATTACAGCCATCACTTATGTCAGAACAGTTGCGGCCGTTCTACACGCTCTCTTCTGATCTGGTCTCTCTACTGACGGTGTTAGCTTGGTGCGTTTTTTAAATGTCGAGCGTTCTCAAGGAGGAGCGTTAACACCATTCAAACCCAACTAAATGTGCTCTTTTTCAAGCGGAGCTACTGTGCATAGGGGCTGTTTCGAATACGAAGCGAGCTTCAATGTGCAATAGTTGCAAGGGATCTAGGAAGACAATGAAAGATGAAAAATTCCGCTTAGATTTGCCATCTTTCGAGTTACACCGACATGACGCTCCAATTTAGAAACTCAGTGAAATTTCCATGCGATTTCTATCGTTCTTATTATCACTATTACCCAAATCTAAGGCCTAATGTTTTACACTCAATATCACCGTAACCATATTGCGCAGTAGTCGAGCGCAATCAGAGGTTCTCACATGCGGCGCTTATATCATTGGGTATTTCCTTCCTAGAACGATTTCAGCCCCATCGCCATTGATAGAGCAAGGGAGTCAAACCGCGCTGCTCACGCCGCCTCCGACAGTCTGCAGTGATGAGGGCTGTACCTCAGTGTAATGGGCTGTTTGAGTGTGAAAGAATACGATCTTACGTTTTAAACACAGACCATGATCATAGTGAGTGGCGCTACATGCCGCTGCATCACTCGAAGCAAGGGAATAGGGTCAGGAAATAAGGAGTGAATATGACGTTGAGATGTCGGTGAGCAGTGGAGAACAGAAAGAGTCTATCTTGAAGGCGGTTTCTGCGAGGAGCCAGAGGAAAGCTAGTGGGTACCTTAAAGGCACATTCCGCGATAAAATAAGGCTATGACCTCTCAAATGTGTCGGACGATCCGGAAGGCGATTTTTGAGGCTGCGCTACTTTCAAAATGTGAAAAACGGCAAGAACTCCGCTAGAAGCTGACTAATTAGGCCCATGGACACCCCTTAGGCCCATGCCGACCCTCACCGGCTGCTAGCTACTAGCTAGTAGCCACTATGTTATCTTTCTCTATAACATTTCGGACTGCTTTTTCTGCTGCTTTTCTCCGCTAATCAGATACTTAGCACTTTTTTGTGCCTATTTGAGTTCCGTTTCCCGCAATTTGCGGTCGCGAACTGTGCCTTTAAGTCAACTCAAGATTAGAAGTGTATATGCTAGATGAATCGCCTGTGAAGAAAAAAGGAGAGGATACCTTCATGCTTTTTCGTCCTGCAGCCTCGTTTTTCACTGAAAGGCAGGCCTTGAAGGCGGAGTCTGGAGGCGGAGTCACTGGAAAAAGGAGGCGTCACTGAACCTATATTGCGCTATAGCGCCCCTCCCTTACAATTTTTGTACGAGGTTGTTCCTCGCGGACCCCACCACTCTCCAGACGCGATATTTTCAACTTCTATGCCTGATCGCGGACCGTACCTTTACACTCATTGTTGTAATGTGCGAAAAAGTTAAATGGATTTTGCACTTTTTAGTGCTTGCCGTCTTCCTATCTACATTGCATGCAATGCACGAATCCGATGTGAAGTACTGGACGCGCTCAATAGCTGCGTTCTCTTCAGTACCGGCAAATATGGCAAGGTTAGTAGTAGGTATCAACGTATGAAGACTATGAGGGCATTCGCAATGCTAATTGGATGTTTCTTTTACTTTATCGGTATTTTCAACATTTCTTTCAGTGCCTAGAAAGGGTCAGTAGAGCTGAAAACATTGGAAGGAGCGGAACATTTTTGGAATTCCCTGTCACACAAAGCATTGGTGCGAACGATATGGTACATTGTAAAATGAACCCAGTTTCATTTAGAATGGCCGAAGAACAACTTCACCGATTTATGAGAAACACTGCTTCTTAACTACATATAGACAGAAGCGCTCCTCGGGATTTAGAACTGTGAATATATATTTATTACATGATGTGACTCATGTGGGTGTACAGAAACGTCAGACATATTGAATGCAACAGATCCTAGCTAAACTAACGCAGTGAACGCCGGAAAAAGAAAACGAAATAAAATGACATTGTAGGAAAAAACCTGCACGTGTTTTTGCAGAAAGAAGGCAAACAAAGAAAAGGAAAAACAGTCAGGTCTCTACGGAACCAAGTAACGCTCGACCATGTCCTTGAAAGCCTTAACATTATGGGGAAACGATCTATTTTTCTTCAACTTAAAGTAATCAGTACCAGCCCTAATAGTGAAGAAATGCAATCTGAAATTGTGCTTAGCGCGAGGCAGTATACGTTTGAGAGGGCTGCCCCTGGTCACTGATGGCCGCAATCCACAGAACTTGTTCGCATCACAAACAGACGTCGTTGTTCAAGACCACATTTGCCTTGAAGGATCTTGTGAAAAAGAACCAAGTCAAATGTTCTTCTCCTGAAGGCCAGAGGGTGCAGCTTGAAATTTCTATTCCTTTCCATGCTAGAGGGTATACCTTCATAAAGAAAGCCTAAAACTCTTATCATCAACTTCCTTGTGAAGGAATTCTGGACTTTTTCGAGCAACGAAATCATTTTCGCTTTGTAAGGGTTGAAAACAGGTGTGCCGTACTCTAGCAGAGGTCTGATGTAAGTTTTGAAAGCCCGCAACAACACTGTAGAATTCTTTGTCGTAAGAACCTTGAACAATCTATAGACCATCGAGTTGGCTTTACGAGCAATAAGCTCACAGTGCGCGTCAAAGCTGAGATTCTTGGTCACTATGAAGCCCAAATCCCTCTGATGCTCCACTTTCCTGATAGGAGTGCCTTCAATCACATAAGGGAACTGCCTATTTTTTGAGCTCAGATGCAACACTGTAGTCTTTTCTAAGGACAACGGCAGGGCCCATTTATTAGACCATCTATTCACTACATCAATGGAGCGCTGCAGCTGAAGACAATCATCATGAGCTTTTACTGCTTGGTATAATTTAACGTCGTCCGCAAAAGCACTGCATTTGACTCCGCTCTTTGTGATAAGTGAAGGCAGCTCGAAACGTGTAGATATTAAACAAAACAGGGGAAAGCACACCTCCCTGAGGGACTCCACTAGGCGGCAAACGTAGAGTGGAGAAGGTATTATTCACCCGGACCATGAATGTCCTATCATGTAGGAAGGCTCCAATCAACAATTATATGCGAGTGCACACTTACAGGTAAAGTGTTAGTCAGGATTTGTGGTGCATCGACGTCTAATCGGAGGCGCTAGAAACCAGATATAATGACATCAAATTTGCCACCGCTGATCCAGTGGTTCGTCAAGTCATTACAGTGATGAATAATGCATTATATAGATCCTCCCTCTCCGAAACCATGTTGAAAGGGGGCAGATTGAGCGTGTCATCAAGAGCAAAAGCTTCAATCCTTTTCTCCACGAGCTTTTCAAAGGTCTCGGTCCCAAAGATAGAAGTGCATTACTGAATGAACGTAATTATGTTAGGAAATCGTAAAGTGCCTTCATCCGAATCGCTGTCATCATACGGCCGTTTCTCCACCTGGTAGTACTTCAATCTCATCAAACTCTACGCAACCATTACATGCGAGCCAGACCGGCGATCTCACTCTGCCTACTTGTTTTAAGAAAAAACAAAGGAATCTCTCAGGTGGTGAGTCAGAGAACAGCAGGCCAGGTACACAGGGGAGAAAATATCATACGCATACGAGTGGAACCATAAAGAGTCAGACATCTCTGGGTACATTTCGAGATCAGAAAGGTCAGTTACAGCCTCCGTACCGCAGTTAACAAAGGACTTCGCAAAGGTAGTGGCAAGTATCTCAGCTCTGTCGCGGTCACTAGTGCAAACACTGCCATCGCTACCCCTCAGATTGCCGAGTTTGGGCCTCTGATTAAGCCTTGAGTTGAGCAGTGTGTAAAACGCACGTTTGTCTTTAGATTCAATCGTTTTCTTCTCAACTGCGCTATTATACTTCCACAGTTTACGCTCGAACTGAGCATTAATTTTCTGAAAAGCAGAGCGAAGCTCCCTGTATCACAAGAATTAGCAGCTGCCCAAGCCTGAGCCCTCTTGAGGTGAAGCCGGTGGAGATAAGGCGGTAGATAAGATCGAGATATGGGAACGTAGGTTAAAGGTACAAATAAGGAAATGCAATGATGTAGAACTGAAATGAAAAGTTCATATTTGTCATCAACCGAACAGACGGGATTAAGAGAACCGTACCAGTCGATTTCAGCTAGGTATTTTCTGATTACATCGTAATTGACGCCTTTAAAATTTCTTCTTCTTACAAATAACTCCTTGAGAACTGTCACATTGAGATCAAAGATGATGCAGTTATGGTCACTAGTACCCAGGGGAGTTGATACTGTCAGACTATGCACTAGGTTGCACTATTAGTCAATACCAGGTCGAATATTGGTACCTAAAGTGGGTACCCTAACATGTTGGGTCAGGGAGTGTGTTCTGCACAGTTCGACCAAGGACCGGGAAACAGCACAACAATTAGTATTCTCAGCAAGGTTCAGCCAATTGAGATCCGCTAAATTGAAATCCCCGGTGATAACGCAGTGACGATTAGAGGAGATGAGGTCACTGATTGCCTTGAACATGTCTCAGAAAGAGTAATAATATCAAAGTCGTATTGTTCAACTAAGAATGAAAGAGCATGTCCATTTTTATGAAGTGACCGTATATTGGCTGACAGGCATTTTAATCGGGGTTCCAGGTTCCGGCGAGGCTTGTTTGAAGGGTTACCCATGCTTGCACTGGACGTAGCCGTGTGTACACTTATATCAGATACATCAACAAGTTCAGAGGACACGTTGATATGCATAGGCTCACTATGAGATACAACTGATTTGGACGAGTTGTTACGTCGGGCGCGCCTTTCAGCACTTGCTTTCCTCCTCTCCTCCCGGGTTAGGGAGGGCCTAATGAAAATTTTAGGAGTTGAGAAGTGCCTCAGGCGTGGCGCACGACGTAAAATCTGGTTAGCAAAGAAAACAGTAGGTAAAACAACTTTCAAAAGCCTAGGAACGGACGCGTTGGGACGCCCCATACGATAAACAGTTAACGAAGAGCACTCAAGAAAATTGAAAATGCGCTTCAAAAAATTGATATCGCCCACTAGCCGATCACTGGATAAGGTAGCAGGGCACTCAGGAACTCCTATCAATACAATCGAGCGTTTCCGCTCTATTTCCTCACAAGGAATAGATGAATAGTTCAGAGATCGAACGGTTTGTTGCGAAAGATCATTTGTTTGGTGAGAGACAGAAGTACAACTAGTTTTAGAAATTGCAGCTTTCAATTCAGCATTTTGAGATCTCAGTAAAGAAACTTCCTCTACTAGTTCCCTATTACGACATAGAACTGAGTTGAGCAACTTGCGATCTTCCAGGAGGGTGGCGAGCACAGAGCGAAGATGCTGCGGCAGACTATGATCTTCCAATAACAGGGTCACATCACGGTCGAAGTCTGCAGGTGGTGCGGTAGGTGACGAATCAATACATGAACGTTTAACTGGTCGGTCCTGAATACGAAGGGCAGACAAGGGCGTATCCATTATAAATCAGCGGTGGGACCAAAAAAAAGGACCAGGTAATACGCAGATAGAAGAAATTCACCTTTACTGGTGGCAATATTCGTTCTTCCCAGGATCGCAGCCCGCCACCGTGATGCTCACAGCCAGAGAAGAAGACGCTAGTAGACGGAAGAAAATACAGACAATTACGACGTAGAGATGACAAGCGCCAGTAATAGTGAAATTCCCACTAGAGGTAACAAATAGTTGTGAAGAAAATAGTAGAAAATACAGGGTCCGAAAACGGTGGGGTCAGAACGAGCGACCGGCCACCGCCACTGCACAGGCGCGAATGCGATTGTACCCAAGGAAGATATTTCGCAAATCTTTGGCTCAACCGTATTTAAAGTAAACCGTCGAAAAAACGTGCCAGTTTTTTTCACAGTGGTTTCAACAGATGATAACGGTTTATAACGTTCTCACCATTCAAATAAACTATTCCAGGAGGTTTCACCGAAAAGCAAACGATCCCGCGCGACAACAGTGCGATATTGCCAAACTGGATGCGGCTTCATGATTTATGAGGTGATTGCATTTTTGTAAAAGAAACCTCCAGGACCGTTTCACACAAAGGAAGGCTGAATGTCGTAAATAACACAAACAGGCTTCTAAAATATTTATTGCAAAAGAACTTGAAAGTCCCAGAATTCTCAAAAGCCCCTGGTTCGTTTCGAATATTTCGGTGCGCATCTTCTTCACCGTCTAAAGACTATATGTGTGGCTTAGTTGAGTAGACGTTTAATCAGCCTTCCAGGTTTGTCTCCTATTGCGGCCAGGACACCTCCTACGTTGGGGACCCCAGTAAGGAGTGGGGCGCATTTAATCATTGAAGAAAGGGGGTCCATATTTTGCGGAAAATGCTTTCAGTTGGTGACTTTTCTTCGTTTTACGTGTCTCGAGTGATACCTCATCCCTCGCTCGAATGCCGTTTCTTGGAAAAAAAAGTGGAGAGATTTCCGGAACGAGGCTGACAAATAAGTAAGAAGTCTAGAAAATTCAAAAGATAGCAGACAGGATGCCTATTCTTTGGCGATTGCATCCGGGGATCTTTAGGTAATACAGTTCGGTACCCCCTACCACACCCCACCGCCCACATTTCCTGTCACGGTGAGTGCATTCTATAAGCTGCTCATGTGGGAAAAAAACAGGTTTTGATTGCTGATTTGCTATGAGTGGGTACAGGAAAAGCATCTGCACTATTTGAAAATTAAGGTCGCAGGTTGTCTGGCTGTATGTATCGTAGACTAGTTAGACAAAGTCAAGGTCTGCGATAGCTCAGCTTTCATTGTCGAAAGGAACAGTTGGACGCTTTGTCCCAGTCATTCGTCGGTAACTTCCGTATCTAGTACAGCGGTTATCAAATTATAAATTTGGTGGGATAGCGAAAAAATTGCTCGGTAGCTACAAGTAAGAAATAGGCACGGGCATTATTCTGAAAATGCATGAATGCAATAATACTTACAGGAAGCAAATGGGTAGGAAAAGGCACTCCGTATGATTTATAAATGTTTTCTTTATTCATGACTAATCACATCATACGAAATAGAATCGGCTAGAACATTTATGCCTTGCACGATAAATCCCAGCCGACTAGGATCAATGTTCCTAAGCAGGAATAGAATTCCTGCGCACCCTGGGCAGGCGCCGCATAGCGGTTCCCCTGAGAAGGTGTCCTTGAAACGGGCCCTATCAGGCCACAACTTTACGTCCCAAAGCCCTCCACGCCCGCCCGCCCACAAATGGACGACCGTTCCTGACGCTTGTTTTCATTCACTTGCTAAGCAAATTATCGCAAGGCGAGGGATGGGTTGAGCGGCCATGATGCTGCATGCACTGATATGGTACACATATGCAGCCGTATCTTCGGTAGCGGTGATTGGTAAGATGCCTACGGGAAACTCGTCCGAAATCGATTTTCAAGTCACTGAGAACGAAGGCTTTTTCTTCGCAGGATTTTGACCGTTTCACTCCATTCTTTCGAAATTTCCCACTACACAGTGCCCTACTCTATGCATTAGGCAGAAGTAGGAACCATCGTGCCAACTGCCTATAAAGACAGGGAGAGGTTACCCGGATTGTTAGTTATCTCTTGTCGAAAGTCCAGGTTAATCACCTTATGTGAACGTCATCCGTGGGCTCGTATTTGGCATTTCGTTTCAGGCACAGTATTGTGTAACTGTGAAACGGAAACGGCATACAACCTTCAGGCGAGGTGGTGTAGGGGCAAGTGGTACGCTATCACGCGAACGGTCCAGGAGCAAGAACCAGGATCGGATTTCGCCAAGGTCAACCAAACCCTCTACCCCTGAGACGGTAATTTGTTACCAGATTTATATGAGGAAGGGGAGTGGGATAGAAACACTACTGACTTGTACAACGGTTGGCCCTCGTAAGTCATTTATGCCACATCGCATTCACTAAGCCACTACGTTTCTGAATGGAAGTAGAATGCGTGCCTCACCGCGGAATGGGACTATCAACGGTTAAAATTCTAACCTTTTTATTCTTACCCCAATGCTCCAGCGAAATCCTGCCGCACGGAAACTTGTGTAGT